TGGTCCGTTCCTTCCACTCTGTTTTCGTTTCCTTGGCTTTCATTCTGTCCGTGCTGTCTGTGCCATTCTGTGTGCCACCAGTTCCGTCCACGTGTCTTGTCCATTTCCTTTTCCTGTCGTTCCATGTGCCATTGTCACAAGTCCTTTCCGGTCCTGGGGCTATCCTGTGGGGTTGTCCGGCTGTTGGGTCCTTTCGTCTGTTCTTCCGTTATTTGTGTCTGTGTTTCGTCTTCCAGCGTCTACAGTCATTCCATCCTTCCTTCCGTGTTAGTGTCTGTGTCCACTGTTTCTTTCTTCTTCTTTCTTCTCTTCTTTCTTTCTTTCCTTCCTTTCATTCCTTTGGCTTCTGTCCTTCATTCCATTCTTTCTATTCATTCCTTTGTGTCCATGTCCATGTGTCCTTCCCGGCTGGGTTCTTGGGGCTGTCCTCCGTCCCTTGGGGTCCATGGGTTCTTGGTCCGTCTTCCACTCCACCCTTCCGGGTTCTTGGTCCATGGGGTTCCTGTGTCCCTTCCTCCACATTGTTCCACCTTCCTTTTCCTGGGGTCCAGTCCATACCATGTGGGTTCCTGGGGCGGTCCACCTTCCTCCATGGTTCCTGGGGCAGTCCATCCACCGGCCTCCACTTAGGTTCCTCCATGGGGTTTCGGTCCATGGGTTCTGGGCTCAGTCCACCTTCCACTCCGATCCACCCCAGGCCACCTCCATGGGTTCCACTGCTTCCACATCCGGGCCCGCCACCTCCTGGGTTCCTGGGGCTCCAGTCCACCGGTGGTCCATTCCACCCCGCCTCCATCCGGTTCCTGGGGCTCGGTCCATGGGTTCCTAGGAGACCAGTCCACGTGCCGTGGGTTCCTGGGGTGATCCATGCCGGTCCATTCCATGGCCGGTCCTGGGGTTCCAGTCCATTCCGGTCCATTGTCACCATGGGTTCCTGGGGTTGGTCCATAGGGTCCTGGGGTTCGATCCATACCTTCATGGGTTCTGGGACCAGTCCCATCCTTCCATACCATGGGTTCCTGGGGCTCAGTCCATGCCACCGTACCGTTCCTGGTCGGTCCATACCGTTCTTGGGGCTCCGGTCCACATTTTCCTGCGGGCGTGCCAGTCCCCTCAATGGGTTCCATGGGGGTCGGTCCATGCCGCCACTCCATCCGGTTCATGGGTTCCTGGTCCATCCGTAAGTTCTGGTCCACTCCATACCTCCATGGTTTCCTGGGGCTCCGTTCACCACTCACGGCCACCTCCGTGGTTCGGTCCAGTCTTCGGTTCGTCCTTCCATCCGGTTCCCTGTGAACGGTCCCACCCCAACCACATCAGTCCACATCGGCCTTCATGTGGGTTTCACTGGGCAGACCAGTCCCGGCTCCATCTGCGCCATGGGTTCAGTGGACCGGTCCACCATTCCGCGCCGCCGGTTCCGATCCACATCCGCCGCTGGGTTCTTGGGTTTCAGTCCACATCCACCCCGGCCACCTCTATGGGTTCCTGGCTCAGTCCACTTGGTCCTCCGCAGTTCCTGGGGTTTCGATCCACTCCTTCCATGCCATTCTTGGGTCCAGTCCCACCCAACCAGTCCGGTCTTCCTGGACCATACCTCCATGGGTTCCTGGAGACCAGTCCCTCCACATGCCTGTCCACCTCCATCGTTTCCTGGAGGGCTCAGTCCACCGCGTTTCCATCAGTCCATCCACCCGTCCACATCCGCATTGTTCCTGGGGCTCCGTCCACCTCCGTTTCACCACGTCCATCTTTGGCCGGTTCCTGGCCAGGTCAGTCCATCCACCCCAGCACTCCATCCGGTTCCTGGGCAGTCCCCGCTATCCTGCCACATCAATGGGTTCCTGGGGCGGTCCATCCATGCCTCCATGGGTTCCTGGGCTCAGTCCCCAAAACCCCTCCTTGGTTCTTCCATACACCTTCCCTGGGCAGTCCATTCCACCCTGGGGCCAGTCCCCCACATCCACCCCACCACTCCGCCGGATTCCTGGACCCCATGCCTCCACCCAGGTTCCTGGAGCTCAGTCCCTTCCGCCTCCACATGACGGTCCCCACCACATCCACCCTCCTGGGTTCCTGGGAGACCAGTCCACTCCACCCCTTTCCTCCATGGGTTCCTGGGGCTCAGTCCCTTTCCATCCCATGCCACCTCCATGGGTTCCTGGTCCCTACAACCCTTCCGGCCACCTCCATGGGTTCCTGGGAATGGTCCACACTCCACCTCCATGGGTTTCCTGGGGCCAGTCCCCACATCCACTCCACGTACCTCCATGGGTTCCTGGGAACGGTCCACTCCTGCTTTCCATCCACCCCATGTCCATGTTCCTGGGGTCAGTCCACCCCCATACCTCCATGGGTTCTTCCATCCGGGTTTCCTGGGGCCTGGGGTCGGTCCATCCACCCCATACCTCCATGGGTTTCCATCCACCTTCAGTCCCCTACCTTCCATCCTGGGGCCCCATCCATGCCCTCCATGGGTTCCTGGAGACCAGTCCCCCATCCACGTACCACTGGGTTCCAGGGGTCAGTCCGCCCCATGGTTCCACAGGGGCTCCGGTCCCACCTTGTATCCGCTCCACAATGGTTCCTGGGGGTCACGGTCCACATCCGCCCCATGCCTCCATGGGTTCCTGGGGACCGGTCCACTCCACCCAGGCCACCTCCATGGGTTCCCTGTGGGTCGGTCCACTGTGCCACCTTGGCACCTCCATGGGTTCCTGGGTCCGGTCCACGGGTTCCTGGGTTCCATGGGCTCATTCCCTTCCGTGGGTTCCTGGTGGCTCCACCTTGGCCTCCATGGGTTCCTGGGGCAGTCCACCATCAGGCCCTCCTCCGGGTTCCTGGGGGCCAGTCCATTCGCTCCACCCTCCATGGGTTCCTGGTCCAGTCCACGTACCATCCCCGGCCTCCTTCATGCGTTTCCTGGGGATCCATCCATTCCTTCCATGGGTTCCTGGTCGATCCACCTTCCACCCCATACCTCCATGGGTTCCTGGGGCCAGTCCACTCCGTGCGGTCCCTGGGTTCCATCCCTGCTTCCATGCTGGGTTCTTGGGGCTCCGGTCCACGCCGGCCGCCGGGTTGGGTTCGATCCAGTCCACCTTCCATGCCGGTTCCTGGTCCACATCTCCATACCTTCCTGGGATTCCGGCTCCATGCGTTCCTGGTCCATCCATGCCGGTTCCTGGTCCATCCACATCCATGTGGGCCACCTCCACCTCCGGCCTCTGGGTTCCTGGGGTCCAGTCCACATGCACCAGGCCATGGGTTCCTGGGGGTCAGTCCACTCCGCGGGTTCCTGGGGCCGGTCCATGGGTTCCTGGGGTCGGTCCATCCGTGGGTTCGGTCCACCCCGTACCTCCATGGGTTTCCTGGGGCCAGTCCTCCATGCCTCCACTGGGTTCCACAGTCCGGTCCCGTTCCTGGGTTTCCTCCGGTCCACCTTCCGGCCACGTTCCTGGGTCCCTCCGCCGTTCCGATCCGGTCCTTCCATGCCATGCCGGGTTCCTGGGACCGGTCCACCATCCGTTACCTCCATGGGTTCCTGGTCGGTCCGATCCTTCCATCGGTTCCTGGGTTCCATGTCCCGGTACCTGTCCGCTGGGTTCCTGGGTCGGTCCACCATACCTCCATGGGTTCCTGGTCCGTTCCTGCCATCCATTGCCGCCCATGGGTTCCTGGAACCGGTATTCCTGGTCGGTCCATCATCCATGGGTTCCTGGGCTCCGATCCACATGCCACTCCGCCGTTCCATGGGTTCCACGCGTCCGGTCCATGCCTCCATCCGGTTCCTGGGCTCCGGGTCCGGGCCTGTCCGCTCCGCCTCCTCCCATGGGTTCCTGGGGTCCGGTCCATCCGCGTTCCATGGGTTCCGGTCCTGGGCTCCATTCCATGGGTTCCTGGTCGGTCCATCCTTCCTTTCCGCGGGTTCCTGGGGTCAGTCCACTTCCGCCGTTCCTGCGTCCACCTTCTGGGTTCCTGGGGCGTCGGTCCACTGCCCACATCCACGGGTTCCTGGTCCATCCATGGGTTCCGGTCCATCCCCCGCCACTCCATGGGTTCCTGGGGTCAGTCCCATCCACCCGTACCTCCATGGGTTCCTGGGACCAATCCACCTTCCTGTGGGTCCACCTTCCTCCATGGGTTCCTGGATCGGTCCATCCACCGGCCATCTTTTCCATGGGTTTCCTGGTCCGGTCCACCTGCCACGTTCTTCCGCCATACCTCCGTGGGTTCCTGGTCCGGTCCACCCTTCCACGCCGGCCTACCTCATCCGGTTCCTGGTCACCGGTCCCTCCTTCCATGGGTTCCACTGGTCCACCTCCAATGGGTTCCATGGAACCCATGGTCCCCTGGAGGCCAGTCCACCACATTCCGGTCCACCCTTCCATCCGCCGTTCCACTTCCGCACATGGGTCCCCGTCCACCCTCCATCCGCCGTTCCTGGAGTCAGTCCCCATCCCCGGCATTCCATGCAGGTTCCATCCACCTCCACATTCAATACTCCATGGGTTCCTGGTCCCCTTCCATCCATCCATGCCTCCATGGGTTCCTGGTCCGATCCACCTTCCACCCCCCCTCCACATGGGATTCCTGTGGTCCAGTCCCTGCTTTCCATGGGTTCCTGGAGATCCAGTCCCTCCATCCCCGTGTGCCTCCATGGGTTCACTGGGGCCAGTCCATACACCCCAGGCCTCCATGGGTTTCTGGGGCCAGTCCACCCCACCACCTCCATGGGTTTCCTGGAACCGGTCCACCTTCCATACCTCCATGGGTTCCTGGGTCGGTCGGTCCCACCCCTCCGGGTTCCTGGGGTCCACTCGGGCCCCATCACACTCCATGTGGTTTCCGGGCTCCAGTCCCTTCCATACCATCCATGGGTTCCTGGGGGTCAGTCCACTCCACCCCCCTCCATGGGTTCCTGGGGCTCGGTCCCCAGCCATGGGTTCCTGGTTCTCTGTGTTCCTGCATCCATGTGGGCCCCTGTTCTTCCATTGGCTTCATGTGGGTTCCATCCACCATCCAGCCCAGTACCTCCATCCGGTTCCTGGGGTCCAGTCCCTCCTTCCGGTCCATCCTTTTCCATGGGTTCCTGGGTGTCGGTCCTTCCCTCCATGGGTTTCCTGGGGTCGGTCCCTTCCATCCGCCCATGCCTCCTGGGTTCCTGGGGCCAGTCCCCACATCCATACCTCCATGTGGGTTCCTGGGGCTCCGGTCCCCTCCGCCCATTCCTCCACTGGGTTTCCTGGTCCAGTCCTTTCATTCCATTGCCTCCATGGGTTCCTGGGGCCAGTCACATCCGTCCATGGGTTCCAGTGACCTCCATGGTTCCTGGGGTCCAGTCCACCTCCTTCCATGCCTCCATGGGTTTCCTGGGGTCGGTCATCCTTGTTCCCTCCATGGGTTCCTGGGGAGTCCGGTCCACATCCATCCTTCCATCCATGGGTTCCTGAGCCAGTCCAGTCCCTTCCCTCCATCCCCATACCTCCATGGGTTCCTGGGGCCAGTCCCTTCCATACCCCCAGCCACTCCACATGGGTTCCTGGGGCTCCAGTCCATCCACATGCCATACCTCCACTGGGTTCCTGGGGTCCCACTTCGTCCACCTCCATTTTACCTCCATGGGTTCCTGGGGCCGGTCCATCCGCCACCCTCCATGGGTTCCTGTGGGCCGGTCCACATCCATGCCTCCATGGGTTCCTGGGGCAGTCCGCCATCCTTCCGTGGGTCCGGTCCACCACCGTTCCTTGGCCCCGGCCCTCCATGGGTTCCTGGGGCCAGTCCATCCTTGCCACATCCACCTGGTACCTCCACTGGGTTCCCTACCGTCCCATCCTTCCGGTTCCTGGACCGGTCCACTCCTTTGGGTTTCCTGGGGTCCGGTCCACCATTCCCTGGTCCATCGTGCCTCCATGGGTTCCTGGGACCGGTCCATGTCCAGTCCGGTCCGTCCATGCCTCCATGGGTTCCTGGGGGCCGGTCCACGCCACCGCCATGGGTTCCTGGGGCCGGATCCACGCACCATCCATACTCCATGGGTTCCTGGGGTCCAGTCCCTCCACCCGTCCACCTCCATGGGTTCCTGGGGAGCCGGTCCGTTGTCCGCCCCATGCCATGGGTTCCTGGGGCTCCGGTCCATCGGCCTCCATGCGTTCCTGGGTCGGTCCACCTTCCTGGGTCCACCTTCCATCCATCCGTGGGTTCCTGGGGCTCCGGTCCATCCACGCCCGCCGTACCTCCATGGGTTCCTGGGGCACTCCGGTCCATGCCATGGGTTCCATGCGTTCCTCCGGTCCTCCACTCCGTTCCATGGGTTTCCGGTCCATCCATGCCTCCATCCGGGTTCCTGGAGGTCCATGCCGTCCATCCGGGTTCCTGGGGCCTCCGGTCCATCCAGCCACTCCGCCGCGTTCCAGGTCCCGTCCATCCGCCTTGGGTTCCATCCGGTCCGGTCCACCGCTTCCACCTTCCGTTGGGTTTCATGTCCACCGGTCCATCCGCGGGTTCCGGTGGGTTCCTGGGTTCCAGTCCATCGGCGCCATACCTCCGTCGGTTTCCTGGAGACCGGTTTCCTGGGTCCGCCCGTCCGGTTTCCTGATCCACCTCCGCCTCCGCCGTTCCTGGGGGCCAGTCCATGGTCCGTACCGGGTTCCTGGGGCTCAGTCCGTCCTTCCGCCGCCTCCGTGGGTTCCATGGTCGGTCCATCGGCCGGTCCATGGGTTCCTGGGGCCGGTCCGGTTCACACCCGTCGGTCCGTGGGTTCCTGGATCCGGTCCACGTTCTTGGTCGCCATCCATGGGTTCCATGGGGACCGGTCCACACCTCCGTCCACCCTTCCGCCTCCATGGGTTCCTGGGGGTCCTAGTCCGGTCCATCACCCCGTACCTCCATGGGTTCCTGGGGACCAGATCCATCCCCTTCCACCCCATGCCATCCGGTTCCCAGTCAATCCGGTCCTTTTCCTGGGGCTCATCGGGTCACTCCACCGGGTTCCTGCGGTGTCCACCTCCATGGGTTTCCTGGGGTCGATCCATTCCGGTCCATGGGTTTCCTGGGGCTTCCATCCGCCATGCCCTCCATGGGTTTCTGGGGTCAGTCCACTCCGTGGCCATGGGTTCCTGGAGACCATCCCCATGGGTTCCTGGGACCAGTCCACATACCCCATGGGTTCCATGGGTTCCGGTCGGTCGCATGGGCCATCCGCCGTTCCTGGATCCACGGTCCTCCGGCTGGGTTCACTGGACTTCACCCATGCCTCCATCCGGGTTCCTGGGGTCCATTATTTGTCCATCCATGGGTTCCTGGGTCCACCGGTCCATATCCGCGTTGCGGGGCTCCGATCCACGGCCACTCCTTCGTGGGTCCATGTGGGTTCCTGGGGTCCACTCGTCCATGCCTCCGCGGGTTCCTGGAGGCCGGTCCATCCATCCCATGCCACTCCATGGGTTCCGGTCCACCTTCCACCTTCCATCGCCACTCCATCGCGTTCCTGACCAGTCCCTTCCATCGCACCCATACCTCCATGGGTTTCCTGGGGATTCGGTCCATCCGGTTCCAGACCACCCCGTCACCCTCCATGGGTTCCTGGGGGCCAGTCCACTACCACATGCCATTCCACTCCATTTGGGTTCCTGGAGATGAGTCCCTTCACCAGCTCCGGCCATCTCCATGGGTACCTCCATGCCAGTCCACCTGTAGACCATTGGTTTCCTGGGGCCAGTCCACATCACCCCGTATACCTCTCCACGTGTTCCTGGAGATCCAGTCCACCGTACCTAGGGACATCGGTCCCCGTACCTCCATGGGTTCCTGGGGGCCAGTCCACCGTTGCCAACTGACCGCTGGGGTCGGTCCATGCGTTCCTGAGACCAGTCCATCCACGCCTCCATGGGTTTCCTGGGGAGCCAGTCCCCATCCATACCTCCATGCGGGTTCCTGGGGACCAGTCCGGCCCTCCATGGGTTCCTGGGATCAGTCCCCGGTACCTCCACCGCGGGTTCCTGGACCGGTCCCTACCAACCACATCACGCCCCCATTCCTCCATGGGTTCCTGGAGACCAGTCCCCATCCCCAACCCACATCACCCCCATCATCCCTCCATGGGGTTCCTGGAGACCAGTCCCCTACCTCCAACCCACATCACTGGAGACAGTCCACTCCATGGGTTCCTGGAGACCAGTCCCCACCCAACCCACCGGTCCAGCCACCCCTGGGTCCCTCCATGGGTTCCTGGGGGGTCCAGTCCCACTTCCCAGTTTCCTGGGGACCAGTCCCCGTACCTTCCATGGGTTCCTGGAGACCAGTCCCTACCCAGGCCACATCACGCCCCATACACTCCATGGGTTCCTGGAGACCAGTCCCACCCCAGCCCACATCACACCCCATTACCTCCATGGGTTCCTGGAGACCAGTCCCCTACCCCAACCCACATCACCCCCTATACCTCCATGGGTTCTTGGAGCCCATCCCCACCCCAACCCACATCACCCCCAGTACCTCCATGGGTTCCTGGAGACCAGTCCCCTACCCAACTTTGTTCCACATCACCCCCGTACCTCCATGGGTTCCTGGAGACCAGTCCCCACCCCAACCCACATCACGCCCCATACCTCCATGGGTTCCTTGGAGACCAGTCCCCTACCCAACCCACATCACGCCCCATTACCTCCATGGGTTCCTGGAGACCAGTCCCCTCACCCAACCCACATCACCCCTTGTACCTCCATGGGTTCCTGGAGACCAGTCCCACCCCAACCCACATCACGCCCCCCAGGCCTCCATGGGTTCTGGAGACCAGTCCCACCAACCAGCCACATCGCCCCATACCTCCATGGGTTCCTGGGGACCAGTCCCTACCCAACCCACATCACGCCCCGTACCTCCATGGGTTCCTGGAGACCAGTCCCTACCCAACCCACATCACCCCCGTACCTCCATGGGGTTCCTGGAGAGTCCCCTACCCCAACCCACATCGCCCTTAGCACTCCTCCATGGGTTCCTGGAGACCAGTCCCACCCCAACCCACATCAGCCCCCATGCCTCCATGGGTTCCTGGAGACCAGTCCCACCCCAACCCACATCACCCCATACCTCCATGGGTTCTTGAGGCCAGTCCCTACCCAACCCACATCACGCCCCATGCCTCCATGGGTTCCTGGAGACCAGTCCCTACCCAACCCACATCACCCCCGTACCTCCATGGGTTCCTGGAGACCAGTCCCTTCACAGAACCATCCTAACCCTGCTGCACCTCCACGGGTTCCTGAGACCAGTCCCCTACCAACCCACATCACCCCGATACCTCCATGGGTTTCCTGGGAGACCAGTCCCACCTCAACCCATCACCCCTGGCCGGGTTCCTGGGACCGGTCCCACCAACACCACATCACCCCTTAGCACTTCCGGTTCCTGGAGACCAGTCCCCAGAACACATCATCCATCTCCATGGGTTCCTTCAGGCCAGTCCCTACCCAACCCATCACGCCCCGTACCTCCATGGGTTTCTGGAGACCAGTCCCCACCCCAACCCATCACCTCACCCCTGCACCTCCTGGGACCAGCCTCACTCCAACCCACATCACCCCCCGTACCTCCTGGGGTTCCAACCCACAATCACCCCTCGTACCTCCATGGGTTCCTGGAGGTCCCTACCCAGTCCACATCACGCCCCAACCCACATCACCCCGCATCACGCCCTGTACTCCATGGGTTCCTGGAGAACCAGTCCCCACCCAACCCACATCACCCCATTACCTCCATTGGTTCCTGGAGACCAATCCCTACCCCAACCCACATCACGCCCCGTACCTCAGCATGGGTTCCTGGAGGCCAGTCCCACCCAACCCACATCCGCCCCATACCTCCATGGGTTCCTGGAGACCAGTCCCCTACCCAACCCACATCAGCCCCCATACCTCCGCCATGGGTTGCTGGAAGACCAGTCCCTACCCCAACCCACATCACCCCTGTGCTCCATGGGTTCGCCCGAGGCCAGTTCCACCCCAACCCACATCATCCCGTACCTCCATGGGTTCCTGAGACCAGTCCCCTACCTAACCCACATCACCCCAGTACCTCCATGGGTTCCTGGAGACCAGTCCCCACCCCAACCCATCACGCCCTTACCTCCTGGTTCTGGAGACCAGTCCCCACCTTACGCATCACCCCAGTATCCCATGTACCTGGAGACCAGTACCTCCATGGACAGTCCTACCCAACCCACATCACCCTGAATGTCTCTGGAACTGCAAAGCTCCTGATAGTAACAGCAGTTTGCTTTACATCTCATCTAAGTATTGGCTTCAGTTGAAATTAGGGTCATAAAAACAGTTCCAAGATATCCAAAATATACATTTTCGTGGTTGATATGTCGCTAAGAAGTACAATGTGTTGAGGCCGCCATTATTACGCTGTTCTTGTACATGTAGAAAGGATTTTACGACACACTTCTTTCAGTTTCTCCTTTTTATCCCAGGGATACTTAATTGAATATCCCTCCGATGCAATGTCAGGAAGGTGTATAGAATAAACTATTTCCAGTATCTCTTGTTCTTTTTACTCTGACACACACACAACCGAGTTATTCTGAAGCGGAAAACGTTCTCCTAATTAACTTACACGTCACAAGGGACAGGCCGATTGGGTTTTGTTCTCAGGGACGGTGTTACGCAATTATTGTGTATCATTAACAATACATCAGTGATGTCATGTTTGTGTCCTGTGACATTCATGAACCTGTTAACAGATAATGGTTTATGTTGTCAAAACACGGGCAGATTAGGGATTACGGATTGCGTGCTTGGTTTAATAAATGTAATTCCTGCTTACATAAACTATACTGTAACTTGGTACATTTGCATGAAATAATAAGTGTTTGAACGATTTAATTAATTACTTATTATACATCACGTTAAATATTTTGTCAGAGAAATGAACACAATAACTATATCACAAAGGATTCAGAGAAGAATACATCTGAAAGGTTCTTGTTTAGAAACATTACATTCATGTTAAGAACCAGGGCCGTGTGGGACTGAGGGATAATTGGCCAGATATCTAGCTCAACGAAATGTATTATTTATAGGCATATCAAAGATTGTTGTACTTTGCAATATCATTTAACAAAATAAATTCCAATAATTTATAGAAAATACTTATCTAAATATCGGCTTGTCTGCCCATAATTGATCAAAATATATCAAGCCCATATTACTGGCTTATAAATCTGTCTGTCTTTAAATTAATCCAATTAAATTATTACAGAATGTTAAACAATTGTGTAATCTTGGTAAAATAATTGTTTTACTGCATGTAATATAAGAAATTTGTATCTATTATTATGACATGTAATTGTCAAGCCCTCTCCTGTATCCCCGGTATTAATTTATGCTTTATGTGACCACCGATAAGTTGTATAACTTAAGGTTAAATAAAAAATGAATGTTAAATTGTTGTTGTGTAAATGACACGGCATTAATGAGTAGGAGTGGTGAGATATTACTACTATCACCGCATCAGCAGTGTTGGAGCTATTGGCGGCGAGTCGGCATTATAATTCATTCATTGTGTAGATCTTTCTTTAATCTTTTTTATTGATAAAAATACGTTACTGCCAGTGTAGTACCTCCAAGGGAGATTAGAATCTGTTAGAGGCTGCATTGAGAACACGACCGCCTGTCGCAAACAATATGAGTTTAGTTTTACGCCGCTTAGCAATATTCGAGCAATAATATGTGGGACACCAGAAATGGGCTTTACACATTGTGCTCATGAGAGGGAATCGAACCCGGGAATTCAGGATGACGAGCGAACGCCTTAACCACTAGGCTACCCCACCGCACCAAACA